TTTACTCACTTATTTCCAGCTGACGCTGGATGCGCCCCTTGCTGCGCTCCCGGAACAGCGTCTGCGCCTCGTTATACTCCGTCATGGCTTCCACAAACTTCCGAGACAGCACCGAGTGCTGGCAATGCAGAGAAACATGACACTGACACGTAACAGTCGTTTCCCCACTGAAAGGGCTACGTAAAACGTCACATCTGGAAACGCAAACTAGGCGTTCTACTCCTTCAAACAGAAAATGCGCAGCAGTGTGCCCCAGGACAGAATCTGTGCTGAGGATTTTACATGCGTCGCCTGATTCAAGTTCACAGAAACCCTACTGTGTTATCGGCATCCCCCATTTAAAGAAGAGAAAACCATGATCTAGGGAGGTCGATTAGCCCAAAGTCACAGGCTTTACTGATAAAGGCTGAATCCGGGCTGGAGCCCGGCGGGCCGAGCCCACGGCAGGGCTAACTGCTCCGCACCCCTCTTTGCTGCTCCATAAGCCCCTAAAAGGTGAGGAGTCCACAAATGCTACCATCATTTGGACAATTCTCTGCTCTTCGGAACAGAACTCTGCTGATGGGCTGCATAGGTTTTCCTTCGTAATAAGGAGACGCGCTCTAGAAATACTGTGTCCTTTTTATGCAGGAAGGTCATGAGGATAAAGGTGACAGTGAAGAGGAAAGTATTTTGAGTTTGAAAGAAGAAAGTAAAAAGACTTATTCTTCAACGTCACTTCGCTCTAACTGAGGCTGGTCTCTAACCTGGGTTCTCCGTATCCGAAGATCTACTGAGGTCCGGTTCCCACTCTCGTCCTGATCAAAACTTTGTTCAATGGCTAGAAACAAACAGGAAAGAGTTACTTTTTGAATTTAAAAAGGAAAGGTTTTGGCCGGGCGCGGTGGCTCACGCCTGTAATCCTAGCTCTCTGGGAGGCCGAGGCGGGCGGATTGTTTGAGCTCAGGAGTTCGAAACCAGCCTGAGCAAGAGCGAGACCCCGTCTCTACTAAAATTAGAAAGAAATTAATTGGACAACTAAAAATATACAGAAAAAATTAGCCGGGCATGGTGGCGCATGCCTGTAGTCCCAGCTACCCGGGAGGGTGAGGCAGAAAGATTGCTCGAGCCCAGGAGTTTGAGGTTGCTGTGAGCTAGGCTGACGTCACGGCACTCTAGCCCGGGCAACAGAGCGAGACTCTGTCTCAAAAAAAAAAAAAAAAAAAAAAGTCTTACGAGACATATCAACCAATCAATGGTTTGGCTCCTTATTTTGGGATCCAATTCAAGAAAACTGTTCAAAAAAAAATTGTTAAGATTACTGGGGGTGGGGGGGCCCAGGCATGCAAAAATCTAAGGGAAGAGCACAGCATATGAAGAGAACATCAAATTCCCCACAGCAAGAATGAGTCTGGGCACTAGCACTCTGGGAGGCTGAGGCAGGAGGATTGCTCGAGCCCAGGAGTTGGAGGCTGCAGTGAGCTACGATGACATCACTGCACTCCAGCCCAGGAAAGAGAAAATCTCAAAAAAAAAAAAGAACTTGGCAATTCATTTTAAAGGCTATTTCACCTTCCCAAACACCTGAAATTTAGCCCAAAATGTCATAAAAAATAACAGTATAACAATTTATAAGCAAATACATAATCTTACTGAATATGAATCACAACTTTGAAATACATACAAATAATTTACTTTAAAGTGGTCGCAATTTCAATTTTTGAAAATGCAGAAGAATAAAAACCCTATATGGAAGAAAACAACAATTACCCCTACTTCCACCGTCGATAATTAAACGTAAAACTTTAAACTTACCCTTTAACTTGGCTCTAATTTTATTAGCCGTTTTCTTGATTTCTTTGTTCAGATCTTCAAGCTCTTCTTTTATTTCTTTAAAAATTTAAAACAAGGCATCTGAGCTATAACATTCAACATAAATAATGTCCAATAAATTCAAATGAAACAATGTTCTTAGTAACTACCCGCGTCATTCTCCCCATCCCCGGAAGAAAACCTCCTGCTTATACCCGTGGTTCTCCAAGGGCAGTGCCCAGGCCGACAGCTCCTCTCGCAGGCGAGCGCTCAGCAGAAACGCACCTTCCTGGGCCCTGCCCTGCACCTGCTCAATCAGAAACTGCCCGGGGCGGGGGCGTCCCTGCAATCTGAGCTAGCAAGCCCTCCAGATGACTCCTAAGTTTGAGATTTGCTGGTCTACACCAAGTAGTTGGTGGAATAGCTGACTAGAGATTTAACCATATTGTGAAGGAAAAGAAGTCTCCATGTGTCTGGTGTTCTCTCTGTTGTCACGCAGCAGCCGCCACTGTGCCCGCCCTGGAGCTTCGGCACAGCCAGGGCTCTGAGCAGGCAATGGCGAAACACGACGATCACAACCGCAATCACCACTCACTGAGCGCTCCTTGGTGCCACGCTGCCCAAGCACTCTCTGTGGCGCCGGCTCCTTTACTCCTCGAACAGCACTCACGGCAGACAGCACTACCACTGACTCACTTACACACGTGGGAACCGACACAGGGAATGTTAAGTGCCATGTCCAAGGTCACGTGGGGAACAAACGGTGGAGCGGGGGTTGAATCCAGAGCCAAAGCAAGACGGAGGCTTCCGGCACACACTGAGGCAATCGGCAACCACTGAGCGCCTCGCGGCACACACAGAAGAGTGTGAAACCAATGCTAAGGGCGTCACCCGCAGAAAAGCTCAAAATGCACAGGAGCAGGAAGGTGCTAGACACGGGAAGCCACGTGGGTGCAGCGTCCTAGCTTGGGCAGAGGGGCCGTCAGGGTGAGGACCACAGGAACAGGAAGATGTGAGCAGCAGGAGTGACAGACACACCCACGCGTGGATGAAAACAAGGGCTCTGGCTCCTGATGGGAGGAGCCACAAGACCTATCGTGAGTGAATAAAATCTCCGCCATTTGCGGTAAATCCTGGCCGTGTCGTCGCCAGGACCCAAAAATTGGAATCACATGCATTCCATGCTCCTGCAAGGCTGGATCTGTGTTTTGGAGGGCCTGAAATTTCTACATCTTGCAAAAGCCCTCTTTTAAGAAAAAAAGCAAAGAAATGCTACAAAAGTGGAAAGTGACAAAAGAAAAATGCAAGTAAAAGGGCCATTCGTCAGGATCTCAGCAACCCTGCCCTGGATCTTGACACTGCAGGTGGATGGCGTGATGGGGGCCGCCAGCTGGGGCTCTGGGACCTACCCAGGCCGCGCTGTGATCTGGCGCCACCTGGCGGCCACCGTGCTCCAGCACCACTCTGGTCCCCAGGTTGGCTGGGGCTTCCGGAGGGCAGCAGGCCCAGGAATCTCCCTGTTCCCTGGGATCCCCCACTTTGGGGCCATCTGGAGCCTCGGGAGAACACGGAGGAGGTAGGGCTCCAACTCCCCCTTCCTCCTAATCCTCCACAGGAACCTGGGCCACCCCTTTCTCTGGGAGCAAGGGCAGGGAGGGGACAGTCACCACCTGCATTACTGGAGAGAGCAGTAACTATATTTTGCTGTTTAAACACCAACTAAGCAAGCAGTGGCACATTGCTTCCTACATTTTGTTTCACACTCTTGTAAAACAAACAAAAGACAAAAAGCAATGGTTTTCTTTAAAGCCCAAAAGAAACTATTATGAAACATTAACAGCTCTACATTAATTCAAACAATAGTTGTATTTGCTATTACTTGGCAGCAAAAATGTTTTGGAAGTAAATTACTCAAGAGAAAAAGAATGCACTGATGTTTATTCAAATTCAATTTCCCTAAGAATTTAAGCAAGATGTTAAGAGATGTTACATGAAAAGTTCTGTGGGCAAACAGATTTGGGAAACACTAAACGAAGTTAAACAGGTTTCCTTAAAGCAGGAGTCCTCGGAGCCCTGTTCTAAGGACGCTGCCCCTGTCCAAGGGGGGATGGCACAAAGAAGCCACAGACCTTGGTTTCACAGAATACAAGACTTTGGCCACGGGAACACATTTTGGGAAACACTCTTCTAAATCACAGATGGACAGCCACAGAGCTCAACACATTATTTTATAAGACAGGCAAAATGTTAAAATTAATACTAAGTTCTTACTCTGTCAATGTATGGCTATACTAAATAACCCTCAAACAAAAAAGATATCTGCCTTCGATGTCCCTCCGAGAGTGAGAATAAGGGTGCTCCCCTCGCCACTTCAACGCTGCACTGGAGGTCAGTGGAATGAGTCAATTAGAGACAAAAGGCATAAGAGCTGAACAGAAAAAGTGTCGTCATTCACAGGTGGCATGACTGGGGGCAGAGCAATCCAACAGAACCTACCGAGAATATCAGAATTCATAACTAACTTGGCGAGGTAACGGGATACAAGGTCAACGTACAAAAACCGCTGTACTTCTACAGACCAGCGACAAGCAAATAGAAAATGAAATTTAAAGCAGATAGGATTTACGTTAATATCAAAACACCAACTACCTAGGAATAACACGACAAAAGACGTGTGAGACCCTCACGTTGAACCAACAAAACAATGCTGAGAGATGCTGGAGATGACCTACACGGCAGGACAGGCCATTTCCGTGGATGAAAAGACTCAGCACTGGTAAGACGTCAGTTCTCCCTGAAAACGATGTGTGGATTCTCCGGCTTGTTCAGATCCATGTCCCCTCTACGGTTTCAGCGTTCACCATTCCAGATCAGCGAAACCCTCCTCACAACTACCAAGTCCCCACGCTGGGCTAGCTTAAACTCGCTCACACGCCGTCCCCAGCAGACTCCGAGAACAGCACGTGCACACAGAAGCCCTTCCTGAAGACTTTTAGAAACACCTCTCAGTCCATCGTCAGCTTTAACCCGGCCCCAACACGCAGTGATTTCCAAATCAATCTCTTATCAACCGCCCTCTACATATAAAATCCTGTCCTTGCTTAGCTGTGGACGCACCCAGACCTCGGGTCTGTAGCTGACGGTGGCTTTTGCGCATTCTTTTGGATACTGTACACCATGGTCCTCGCCGTGCCACACACCAGACTGTGCCGGGAGCTCCAAACTCCACCTGGACGGGGCTCACCTAGGACCACAGCCGTAGGTGCCCGGAGCTGGGCCAGCCCCCAGCTCAGTCTAACGTGACACGAGGGTCGAGACCTGTGCAGCATACAGCAAGAGAAAGGCACACAGACAGAAAACCTTTTTCTAAAAGCCATTGACTTACTTCCTTCTGGGTTTGGTGCAGAAAGAATGATGCTGTGGTTTTTCTTTACTTCTTCAACATATTGAGCTATTTTACTGATACTGTGTCTGATCTCCTCAACCTAGGACAGAGAGAAAGAGTCGTCACAACGTGGCAAGTGCAACTTTGCTATCACTTCTCATTACCTAAAAAGGGAAGAAAAAAGGAAGGAAATAAATGAATAATTATCACATAAAGAAATAAAAGCCTTTCCCATTCTCAAACTGGTATCATTTAATTTAAAAAATAAAGAGAAATGTACCATTTAATGTTTCTACCTTTATGACAAAGGTGGCATCAATCAACAGTCGCTGGCAAAGCCATTAGGCCGCGAAGATTCCTACAATCCGGTCCAAGGATCCCAGAGAAGGCACCGACTGGAAGGCTCCTGCTGCGAACGCGGAGAAGCAAACTCACCCCGCAGAAGGTGCCGGCCGTAAGGCGCTGGCGCGAGAGGTGTCTGCCGTCCGCCAGCCTTCACACGCACTGTCCTGGAGCGCTAAGTGGCCCCCACTACTCAGCGTGTTTCCAAATGCAACGCACTTGCTAGCGTGACGTGCCCAGGCGGAGTCAGGACGTTCTCTCCAAAGCCCTCCGTGGCAGGCCGAATAATGGCCCCACAGACGGCCAGGCCCTACTCCCTGGAACCTGTGAACGGCACCTTACGTGGCACAAGAAATTCTGCAGACGTAGCTAAACTGAGTCTGGAGACGGGCAGACTACGCCGACCACCCAGGCGGACGGACCCTCCACCTACGCAGGGGCGTCGCGGGAGACAGGGCAGGGAGGCGGCCCCTGGAGCAAGACGCCACGCTGCGCCGCTCCCTCCCACAGCAATCGCAGACCCTGGCGCGTCGTGGCACACGTCCACACCCTAACCTGGAGCCCGAGGATGCGCCACCTCGCAGTGTAAAGGGACGCTGCAGACGGGATGAGGTTCAGAGTCCTGCGATGGGGATCACCCCGATTACCTGGGGGTGCTCAGTGTGCGGCAGCGCCCTTCTAAAACGCAGCCAAGAGGATCCACGTCAGAAAGCGGAGAGGAGACACGGAGAACGGCGGCGGATGCCGTGCCGTGAAGACGGAGGAAGGGGCGAGCCAAGAACACAGGTGGCCTCTAGAAGCCTCTAGAAGCTCTGAGAGACGAGGGAGACCCCCCCACCCCCCAGCCAGAGCACAGCCCATCAGGGTTTACATGACTCATTTCAAACTTCCGGCCTCTGGAACTATGAGATAATAAATACGTGCTGTTTTAAGCCACAATGTCTGTGATAATTTGTTATACCAGCAATAGGAAACCAATACACGTGTTCACATGAATAACACATCTTTATGAAAAAAAAATTTTCCCCAAAAATCAGTGCAAATAGGAGCGGTGATTTACAAATTTTATAAATCTAATTTCTAGCTTAATTGAAGGCATCTTGATTCTCATGTATCCTTCTGTG